TTTCTGAGCATGCAGTCCATGATTTCTTAGCGTGCAGTCCACGGTTTCTGAGTGTGCAGTCCACGGTTTCTGAGAGTGCAGTCCACGGTTTCTTAGCGTGCAGTCCACGGTTTCTTAGCATGCAGTCCACGGTTTCTGAGCGTGCAGTCCACGGTTTCTGAGTGTGCAGTCCACAGTTTCTGAGCATGCAGTCCACGGTTTCTGAGTGTGTAATCCACGGTTTCTGAGCATGCAGTCCACAGTATTAAGTGGTTTATGCATCTATTCAGTCACCAACACTGTCCACTTAAACACTTGCTTTCCTTTCTCTCCCCAACCCCTCAGAGCCCTGTTCTACTTTCTGCCTCTATGAATCCGACAGCTCTAAGTACCTTCTAGAAGTAGAATCATGAAGTATGTGCTGCCTTGTGACTAGCACATAGCTTCAGTGTTCGTTCCTGTTGTAGCACACATCTCTCTGCTTCATTTCTGGGCTGTGTAAGCCTGCACTGTGGAGATGGTCCTCACGCAGCTGAGCTGTGCTAAGCCTGACCACTGGGAGGGAGCACTGCAGGGGCCTTTGCTCCTGGCCTGTGCATGAGGCCCAAGGAAGCTATTTAAATGATCCAGTCTAGGGCTCGGGTGCGGAGCTGGACCAAGATGAGTGCTGCTTTTGGGAGAGGGAGGGTCATCTCAGAGGGTGATCATGATTCTAGTCTGTGAAGTCAGGCCATTAGGTGGGGGAGGGGCTGGCTGGCCTCAGAAGGGCCCGGGCCAGGCGGGGAGGAGGCCGTGTTTTGGAAGACTTCAGCAATGCCTCTAGAAGGGCCGACTTTCACTCAACATTTCTCCACTAGCACCCTCCCCTGCTCTGGCAGAGAACACTGGGCGCTGGAGACTCACTGACCCACTGCCTGACTTCTCTCTTGATAACTGGGTAGGTCAGTGTTGTGCCTCAGTTTCCCTGTCTGCAAAATGTGCGTAACTATTTGAGGGCGAAGCAAACGGATGTCTGCGAGGCTCTTGAGCAGCAGGCTCACGAGTGAACTTCAGCCACTGTTGAGTTATTCCGGGTACTCACGACTAACACTGACCAAGAAGCCTGAGCAGGGTGTGGGGTGAAGCTATTAAAACAAGGGCGCTCCTCCTCTCCATGGCAGCTCAGAGCTGGGGATGGTGGCAAACAGGGCCAAGGCAGGAAGGCAGGTGAGTGCAGGCCCAGCGAGGAGGGCACCCTAAGCTGAGTGGACAGACAGGCTCTCTGCCACATCCCCGGGGATTGGGATCTGGCATCTAGTGGGTGTCCACTGGCTAATGAGCTAGGCTGGGTTACCAGAAGTTGAAAAGACGTGAGGGTGTTTACAGCAAGGCCCGCAGGAAGGAAGAGCAGAGTCGTGGCCCTTTTTGTGGCCTGGAGAGAGCCACGGTCATAGTCAGAACAGATAAGGTGGAAAGGGATCCTGGGAGACTGGGAAGCCACTTACTCCTCCCCCCTTGCAGGACATTCCACCTTTGCAGCTCCTGGATCCTTGTGGGAGGACCTGAGGACTGGGGGCAAGGCCAGCTGGGCCCAGGGCCACTTCTGTGGGTGGAGGGAGGCCATCCAAGACCACTGCCTTGACTCTTGACCTGCCTGGGGCCTAGCATTCCAGTCAAATCCCCTGAGGAGGTGGATTGAGGACTCTGTCCCCAGGCTCCGGTCCTAGCCAAGGCAAACATACCACCCACTCCGTAGGAGGCAAAACTGAGCCGAAACTCAGGAGACTCCGAAGTCTTGGGGCTTCTGGGGGGTCCCTGCACCCATTCTGAGCCAGACCCTTCACTGTGGTTGCCTAACCTCCACGCTCTTCTCCTCTCCTCTAGGGTCATCTAGGCTTGGAGAGTCCAGATCTACGGAGCGGCCTCTGTCTGATCCCTCGGATCTGGGGTGTTCTGGCTTCTCTTAACTCTTAGTACCTTCAGGCCTTGAAAGACCTATGCTGACCCCCTGTCCCAGCTGAGGCTTCTATGCCTCATGTGTGTTCTCGGAGCTCTGATTCTTCCCATGGTGTCTTATGGCTGGTCCGCAGTCATGGGTATAGCTGTATTCTTATGACCAAGAACCAAGGGCGTAGGCTCCCTAAGTACCGGGCAGGTGGGTGTCAGTGGCCTATTTGGCTACTTCCCCTTCCATCTGGGGGTTTGGGACCCAGCCGCACCTTTATATGGGTCCTGGGAGAGTCATGACAATCCAAGACAAGAGGACACCAAAAGTGGAGGCAAAGAAAGCTCAGGGCCAGCCTCAGAGTTCTGGAGTTGAGCCATTCTTTTCCCTGTGTGACCCTGAACAACTGACCTTATCCTCAGAGCCTCAGTTTCCCCATATGTGAAGAATAAATTCAACCTGGCTGAAGCGCTGGCCAAAGTGTCCTTGGTGCAGTCATAATCACTAATTGGTCCTTGAACAGTCTGTCACCCCGTGTCCCTGTATTTCCTCCTCTCCCCACCCACCCCTCACCCCAGCCCTGCTGTCTTCTCCAGGCCTCAGGGAAGCCGCCAACCTCACCATCCCCACTGTGGCCTTTCATCCCAGGCAGGAAGACCCGGCTCAGCAGCAACTGCGGGACAGGATCTGGACCAGATGTCAGGAGCTGCGGGGAGCTGGGAATGCTGTGACCTTCATCCCTAGCTGACCTCCGCCTCCTCTTCTCCCACTCCTCACCCTCACCCCCTCCAGGAGACCCTGACCAGAGCTGCCTTCTGCTTGCCCCTCCCTGGGGCCTTGATGGAAGGGAAGGAGACCTATCAGACAGAGGCAGCAGACTGATGGAGTGTCACCAGCCCACCTCAGCCAATGGCCAGGGGACTTTTGATCCCTGGATCTCATGAGTCCATGAATTAGCTGCAGCAAAATTAAGACACCCAGCCTCCAACTAGGCCATCACAGTCAGGTCCTGGGTCCAGATGTCTTGTGGGATAGGGTGAGCTCTTATTCCCTGATACAGAGCCCACCCACGGGCCTCAGGCCCCACCATGAGGGTCGTGAGGGCTCCAACATGATCGCCTGTCACTGCAGTACTGGCCTCAGAGGCAGCAACTATTTTTTTGAGACAGGGCAAGGCTAACCTACTCCTTAATTCTCCTGCCTATACCTCCTGGGTACTGTCAGTATCATTTAGTGCTGGGGATCAAATCCAGGCCCGTACATGCTAGGCAAACACGCTACCAACTGAGTCACTACCCCAGCCTCCCTCTTGTCCCTCAGTACAGGCAGGGAAACTGAGGTGCAACACGGAGTCCCAGCTTCCCAGTAGTGGCTGTGCTTTGCCTGAGTCCAAAGTCCCATTGCAAGGTTGCTACCCTGTCCCCCTTTCGGAGCCAGCATGCAGTGTGACACTGTCATTCATTCACTCATTCCTTCATTCATTCATGGTACAAACTCTTTTGACCTTCCACCTATAAGCTTGGTGCTGTCCAGCAGGATGGGAGGAACGCTGCCCTAGGGGAGGACCCACCCGATGTATGTGCCTTGTACCATGTATGAGTGCGTGGCATCTTTGCTCACTCTAGCGGTCCAGGATCTGAGCTGCCCGGAGGCATCTGGCTGAAGCATTTAAAGGTTGCAGGAGCATTTATCAGGCATAGCACAAGCACTGCTGTGAACAGGGCTGCCCCTTAAGGCAAACGCAGGATTTCCCACTCTGTCCCCCGCCCCCATGTCTGAGGCCTGAGCCCTCTCCTTGGCATCTGGATTTCATGGGCACATGTGACAGCCTTTGTTAGGGAACACTATGTCTCCCTCACAGTCCCCCACCCTGCCCCAGATTCCTCTCATGGCCTTGGGGTCTTGCCAGCCTCATCAACCAACTCCCCTAACTTCCTGCTTCCTGTCTGGGCAGACCCCACCTCATCCAAGTTCCACCAGAGAGACCATGTCGTCACCCGTTGGAAACGGGTTTGGGGTACAAGAGGAATGTGCCTGCCCGCGCTGCTGAAGGGGTTAAATATCCTTCCCACCGCTCTTTTCAGAGGACGAGGCTGTTTCTCAGCCCTTGCCAGGGCTTTGCCACCCATGTCTAGGGAGGACCAGCTTAGTCATGAGTGGTCCAGCACATGCCAAGTTTACATTCTGACCTCTGTGGCACAGGAATGTTTGTGTCCTGACTGTCACTTAGCAGCTGTGTGTCTGTGCACAAAGCACTTAACCTCTCTGAGATTCCAGGTTTTCACGGGAACATAGTTCGTTCACCATCTGGTATCCAAACTCGGCTCCAGGTGTGTTTTGGAATTCAGGGCTTCTCCGAGGTATTATTATGAGGGTGTATATAGCTAAGGGACGGAGCGCTTTCCTAACGGGCTTCATTCTGGGGCTGTAGGCTGTACTCAAATGAGATTTCAGCAGCAAGATGTATGAATATTGGCTCTTACTCGGATACACAAAGTCTATAAAGCCTCAGGTCAGGTTTAGTGCCAAAGTGAGTTATGAAAATACCCAATCCAAGTTATCAAAACTTTGGAAGATTTGTACAGTGTCCAGAACATAGCAAGGAACCCAAGAAGGACATTGGACTCCTCTGAGCTTGGAGTGGTCAGAGAATATTTCAGCTTCAGGGTGGAAGTGGGGCCCTGGGTTTCCACCTCCAGGGGTCTAATGCTATCACACCTTGGCTCAGGCTGGGTGGGGCAAATCATGGGGAAGGCAGAGGGGCTACACCAAATGCTTCAGGTGACTATCCAGAGGCAGGAAGAAACTGTTTGTCCTGCCCAGGGTGTGGTGGCAGTTGCCCCAGAGTGCTCACAGCCTTGGATATTCACTTGGTCTTTGAAGCTGAACAGATTGGGAGTCCCTGCCTGGACCAGGTCATCCATGGAGGTGTCAACCCCCCCCCCTCCACCTTCTTAACTGTCCTTCCTGGGAATTGTTGCTGCACTCAGTTCCCCGGCTCTGTCAAAGCTGAGGGGGGCTTTCTCCTGCCCTTAGAGGCACCGTCGGGCTGGTATCCTGCAGCCCGCCCCAGCTGCACAAGGGGACACATGCTTACCTAGGCGCAGGGTAAGGTTAACCGAGGTGGGGTACTGCACCCCGAAGGCCATGGATGGGCTCTGCCACCAGGTACTGTCATCGGGGCTGTGGAAGTCTGTGAGGTAGGAGGCGTCGTGGCGGAGCTGGGGGTCGGCATCGTCGCAGCGCTGGCACTGTGGTCCCGCGCCTGGCACCCCCACGTGCGGGCAGAAGTTCTCTGGGGGCCGTCCGCACGTGTGCGAGGCCTCGACCCGTCGGCCGAAAGCCGCATTCTCGAACTCAGGCAGACAGCGCTGTGCGCGCCCCGCGTCGTCGTAGCAAGAGCCCATGCCCGCACCCGCCGCGCAATGCGCCTCTAGCATCACCAGCGTCACCAGCGCCACCGACGCCACCGTTGCCAGGCGGGACAGGACCCCGGACGCAGCCATGGCCCGCGCCCGGCTCCGGGCTGTGCCGCGGTCCACTCTGCGCGGCATTCGGCACTCGGCCCCTCTGCGCTCCACTGGCCCAGTAGCCCTCCCTTGCAGGCGGGACCCGACGGCATCTGAGGGCGGGACCCACGCAGGCGACACCCCACCGTCCGACCTCAGTCCCTTCGTGCTCACCCCCACCTGCTGGACGTGCCCGGGAGTGCCTGCTTGTTTTAGTTGGGCTGCGGACCCGTACTGTAAGCCTGGTCCGCGGTTCCCTCTGCGAAATGGCTTTGGCGAGACACTTCTTCATTCTGCCAGTGGGACTTTTCTATGGAAGCCTTGCACGTGAGCCTTGCTCATGAGCTGAAGGGCAAGGCAAGCACCGGTCTTCTTCACCTGGCAGAATGACCTCTGGGAGTTTCCTTTCATACCTGCCCACATTTCTACTTCAAAAGTGGCCGCCGCATCTGGCTTCTCTTCTCCCAAAGTTGATATATTTATTTATCCAACTGGGACTTTTCAAGGGAGCTCCCTCTCATCAGCAGAGGCTCCCCTTCTCTCCACCAAGCCTATGTCCTTCCCAAGGCAGCTAAGGGCCCTTGTAGACAGTGAAACAAAATGACCCCATGATAGGGACATCCCCCTGAGCTGGACACTATCAGGCCTAGGGGTGGAGAGACGAAGCAAGCCTCCAGCCCTGCATGGACGTGAGGGTCAGGGTTAGGGATGTGGTTCTCTTGGGGTCAGGCACGAGTGTGAACCTGTGGTGAGGACCTTGTGCTGCCTGCCTCTGGGGCTTCCTTCTTCGCCCGGATGGATACCGGGGTCACAGGGGTTCCTTGCATGAACAGCTGGTGGAAAAAGCCCTGTAGAGTCTGTACATAATTATAGGATGAAGACGGATCAGATCTGCCCCTCTGAGTAACACTCGGGTGGCCTGTGTGGGCTGGACCCACAGGAAGGGGTGAGCTGGAGACAGTGTTGTGGAAATGGCAGACTGGGGAGGCCAGTGCCCTTTGCCCCTGGCTGCAGAGCAGAGCCGACCCCGCCTCCACACCCCTAGTAACTCTCAGTCAGAGACTTGACTTGGGTGAGGTTCTTAGTGACTCTCTCAGTTCAACCTATGGAGCTTTTGCTGATTTGCTTGAGAGACTGAGTAGGCGAGGGATCCACGCTGCATGACACAGAAGCCATTAGCCACTTGATATTTGGGTCCTTTCTTTACCGCTCAAGTGGCTGTGGCAGAGGCCAGAGCCTCTGTCCCACTAAGACTGCCCCCAAATCTTCTCTGCCCAGCTGCCTTTGCAGCCAGCATCCCTGGGGCTGTCATTTGCCCTTCTGACGGAATGTTCTGGTACACAGGAGATCCCAGGGAAGGGAGGGTTTGCCTTATATGTTTCAGCTCTACAGCCTACGTAGAGGCCCCTATGTGCTAGCCATAGCCCTAGCTTCCTGATTCCCAGGCCCAGGGAGGGGGTGGTTTCAATCAGAGCCAGCAGAGGTGCTTGCACTGTTACGGCAGCAGCTTCCCTGGGAGCAATGTCCTATGTGGCAGCCCCTCAGGTCCCTCCAACCTTTACTTGAGCACATAAATTAGGCTCCATCAGAAATACCTAAACATTAGAGCAATACGTGCAGCTCAGAGCCCAGATCATTGACAATGATCCCTACAGTGAAGCCAAGATCCTACTCTACATACATCGCTAAGAGAGAGCTCCATGACCCTGGGAGCTGGCTAGACTGGGCTCAGGCAAGCACCGCCCTCTGCCCACCTTCACTGTGCGGGTCTTGGGGACACCAGGGTGAGGTACATTTGACTCTTGTCTCTTGAAAGCACCCAGCCTGCAGTCCCTGTGTAGGACAAAGACAAGTTCATGGCATGGTGTGGGACTGTTACCATGGCACCTGCTTCAGCCTCGTCCCATCACCAGGACCTGCTCTCCATCCCAGCAGGCTGGGCTGCTTGGTAGCCGCCCCCAACCCCGATCCTGACGGGATGAGCAGGGAAAGACCATCAAAGAGGATGCCTGTACCCGACAGCATCCAGGGCGTGTTTGAGGAATGCACAACATTCCAGGCTGGTTTGGGAGCCTGAGCTAGAGGTGATGGCCCCTTTCAGGGCCAACTGGATGATCACCAACTGGGCCAGCATCCCTGCCCTAGGTGGTGACCTCAGTGGAGGTCCTAAGGGGCACCCAAGAGTCCCTACTTTCCTTTCTCCTGAATCCCCAAGCTGTACAATGTCAACCACCAGGTGGCGACATTGGCTGTAGTACAGGGACAGGCCTCTCTGGCCCCCTAGAGGCCTAAAACATGGTAGCCCAGGGTTGCATCGCTGTGTGGAGTTGACCAGTAATCAGTCAATCAGGCCTGAGAAGGGAATAAAGTCCCGGGAAGGTTGCCTGCCTCATTCTCCTCCAGACCTGTCCCTTGCCACCGAGGGCCCACATGGCAGGTATGTACAGCCTGGTACAGTCCTGTAACTGGGCAAACAACTCCAGAGGGCCTTGGAGACAGGAGTGGCTCCCAGGAACACACAGCAGAATGGGGCAGAGCCAGGGCTCCAACTACCTGTGGGTCTTCAGCCATCTTTCACCCCACTATCCAGGACAGACACTCGCTCCCACACTCACCACAAATTTTGGGGAGTCTCTGTCCAAGCAGAGACTTGTCCAACTCTCAGTGTCTTGGGATCCCTGTAAAATCCCTGAGGTCTGGGTCTAGCTGTACCAAGCAGGAACTGGGGCCTTTAATGGGGAAGTGGCATGTCAGGACAGTAAGAGGCCAAGTTCCTCCCTCCCATATGGTTGGCTCTTCTTAGGAGAGGGTTTGGGATGGACACAGTTCAGTGTGCTTCCAGTGCACAGGCATGGCCACATGTCCATCAAGGAGCCTGTGCTGCTACCATTTCAGTGCGTTCAGGATTCACTCACACATTCACCCCTGTGCAACCTCCATGTTCAGTCCTCTGGAAGGTGGTCTACCCTGTGCCAACCCCCATGCTCACCCCTTGGGGAGTGGGGGGTCCACCCTGTGCCAACCCCCACACTCAGCCCTTGGTGGCGGTAGGAAGTCTACTCTGTGCCAACTCACACATTCACTCCTCTGGTGGGGGGAGGGGAGGGGAGTCCTCCCCTGTGCCATTCTGTAAAGATGAGGTATGGAAGGGCTGCAGAGCGGCTCAGTAGCAGAGCGCATGCCTAGCATACCCAAGGCCCAGGGTCCCCAAGAGGAGCCTCTGGGATGGGCCAGTGTCTGACCCCAAAGTCAGGACCCCAAACCCACAATGTAACTCTAAACCTGCAGATGCTTCAGGTCACATGGCCTATCTCCCTCTAGCCTGGAACTTTGAGGCCAGTCTCTAAGCCCTGGGAGAAAGCCCCAACCCCCATTCCAAGGCCACATGCCCCTGCAAGGGCCATGCACGCACCAGTTTCTGAATTCATGTGGCTTGCTAACTTTGAACCCTGTCCTCCAGGAGAGTTTTGTCTGGTCTCTCTCTGGGAGCAGCAACCTGGGCAGGAAAGGGACTGTGTGCACAGGACATCCGTGCCTTAAAGAGCAGGGGTGGGAAGGGACAATGTATGGGGGTGTAGGGAACAAGGGAGGCGAGGCTGGGCTGGTGAAGGGATGGACTGAGACAAGAAGTACTCTGATCTAGGCAAGGGCGTGTATGGTTCTGAAGTGACAGCATGCTTATACTATCCCAAAGGAAGCTGGGTAGGGCTGGAGGTGCTGATGGGCGGGTTCATCCCCATCTGTATTGGGGGGTGGGGTTGCTTAGGTGCCTGCACAGCACCCAGTGTTGTCCTGGCTCCCCTCCCAAAGCCCACCTACCAAGGGTTAAAACCTTCCAGGCAAGGAGGAGGGAGCAAAGCCTCCATTGTTCTGATTTGCTTAATGAACGTTAATTAAGGAGACAGAAGATAGCTGACTCCTCCCAGACCGAGATGAAAGACTCGTTAATTAAATCTGGGGAGATGCTGGGGCTGCTGATCCCTCCTGACAGCTTGGTGCAGTGCAGCCTGTTGGGGCTTGGAGTCCAGCACCCCAGAGGGGAAAGGTGCTTCACAGCCCAGCCCAGGGTCCTGTCCTGGATGCCTGGGAGGAACCCAGGACTCGGGTCTGACACATTGAGATCTCTTGGGCAGAGCCACGCCTCAGTTTCCCTGCCTGCACAATGAATGAGTCCAGCCACGTGCCTGCACCTCAATTTTCCTTTGCTCTACATGCAGTTCCAAGAACATGGGGAAAGAACTGGGGTCTGCTGTGGGCATGGATGTGGGGGACCGTAACAGGTGCCCAGGCTGTAGTCTTTCTGCTTTGCTCTGAGTGTGCCCACCCACTCATTCATTGACTCCTCCAGGGCTGCCTGTTCTGTGCCCACCCAAGCACCAGGGCTGTCGTGGAGCAGGGGCATGGGCTGTCAGTGACGCCACCAACTTCCCTGGAAAATCAGGGATCCAGGGAAAAGCAAGCAGAAAAGTTCAATGCTTCTGTGTCTGTTGAAGAGTTTGGAGGAGCTCCCAGGGGAGGCACAAGGGCAGGGCAATTGGGAAGGCTTCCTGGAGGAGGTGGCAGTCTGGCAGAGTCCTGTCACATAGGACCAGGGAACATGGAGAGGCAGGGGTCAGACAGATTGGAGTGGACAGGGTCCTTCAGCTGTCAACTCTGGGAGCATCTTTTCTCAGGGAGGTAACACCGTCAGACAGGCAGAGAGACAGGGCTGTCCTGGGGGCATGTCACCACTCAGCCCAGCAACTGTCTTAGCTCCTCAGCTGCTCCTAGCCATGCTAGTTCCCCACCCCTCCACCCCCAAGGCGGGATGAGTCAGCTAAGGGTCCAGAGAGATGAGGAAAGAGGAAAGTACTCCTGGAGGTGCAGAGCCCGGAGTAGGATGTAGGGGACCACGGGAAGAGTGATGTTAGAGCTCTCCTTGTACTGGGGGACCCGGAGAATAGCACAGTAATTTAACTAGGATTAATGTGTTAGTTCCATCAGTGAGGATAATGAAGAGGTGGTGGTGCACACCTTTAAACCCAGCACTCGGGAGCCAGAGGCA